GTCCATATGTCACATTGCTTATAGAAACACTCCCATCCCCATAACAACTTGAGCTCCTTTACTTTGTTATGGGGAAGGCATGTCAGGGCCTTGTCTTACCTTCAGGGGTTTAACAGTTTTTCAGTGGTTTAAACTTCGTGTTGGGGCTCTGGTGCCCAGCTTCCTTTTCTGTGCTGCTTTGTGAGAAAAGCTTTAGCCGGGTGGCAGCTAAAAGTGTTAACTGACGACACGCTCAGCATTTCAATGGGCGCCCATTTACACAAACAGTACATACATTCTGGGGTTCTGGCACACAGACATTCCTGCCCCCTTAAGAGTTGAAATGAGCTTAAGTGGTTATGTAGGTGTGCGTAACTCTGTCAGATATTTTACAAGCAAAAATAGGTGAAGAAAATGGTATACTTTCCTCTCTTCTTGGTATATCTTAATATTGCTGTAAAGATAGAGAGGTATATAATAGTGCCGATATCTTTAAAACATAAATGTATATACTGCTTGGTAAAAGAATGCACTTACAAGAGTGGAGCCATATACTCAACCTGGCTCTTGTGTGGATAGCCTTAGGATCTTTATGGGTGATCCAATTCCCCCTGTAGATACTCTGGATACTTGGTCCAATATTCTCCCTGGAGTCCATTGCACATATTCCAAATAAGGTAAAAGTAAAATTTATTCAATAAAACAAACAAAATCAATGGTGGTTTCTGAGCAATGTCCAATACAGTCCAGTAAAATACCAAAACGCATTTCGCCAGTTGGGGTAGATGGTGCTAATATGCCTTTCAGTTCTTTATATATCCTTGCGTTTGAAGTTCGCGGTCTTTTTCTTCCGGTGGAATGCATCCTGCGTTCCACCAGTCCGCATCACTTCCGGTCATGTGTGTATTCGGCATTTGTAACAGAATATCTGTCAGATATTTGTAGTAAAGATTTCTAGATCAGATGTAGTCTGCAGAAAGCAAAATGTCTGTCACAGGTTATTATATATTGTATATTTTTCTGTAGAATGTAGAATTTTCCCCAAAAATTAGTCCCTAGTGACAGTTCAGAATGAGTAGATGTGGATGTTTTATTATGATTTCAAAAAGGAAACTAGTAAAAGTGACATGGCGAACACTGGATTTAGGATTCCATACTAAAATTGGTATGTAAGCGAGCTCATTGTTATAAAGAGAAGGTTGGCCACAGGAGAAATATTGAGATTCGGGTAGTCCGTATGGAAAGTTGGGCAATAGAGTTAAGTGAGTCAGGGCTACAGTGTAGGCATGGTGGGATCAAGGAAGGATTTAAGGAGGTTGTGGGAAAGGCAACCCAGGTGGGGAGGAGGTTCTCATATTACTATGTACTGGAGTAACTGAGTCAATGCTATGTACCTTTTCTAAGTACCCTTGCTCTCCTCCATTCCGGAAATCCATCCACAAAGGATTGATACCAAGTAATCTTTACAATAAATGAATTGGATAGTGTTTCTAAAGTTACAAAGGACATATTTCTTGTGAGTAGATTTGCTCACAGGGGTATGGTGGAGAAGAACCTTTACTGATAAATGGGACATAGGAGAGAGAGTTGAGAAAGTATGTGTAGTTGGAAACAACACAAAACAAGGATACTCACAGGAAAGAAAAGGGGTTCGAGTCTTACAGAGTTGGTGTTCCATTCTTGGTTTGAAAATTAAGATGCAGTTGTGAAGGTAGATACAGTGGTACGTCGGTTTATGAATTGAATGCGTTCTCCAGGGCGTTTTGTATTGGGAAAAATTTGTGAACCGAAACGTGGTTTCCCATATTAATGCATTGAAAACCAATTATTTTGTTCCGGAGGTCAGAAAAAAATCAAAATGAGCTGGCATGGAAACCAACCCACAATGCAGAACACAAAGTAAAAGGCATGCAAACAATGAAGCTCAGCTCCCTACCTTTGCACCGCTTGAGAAATGCACCCAAAAAGTTCCAAAAAGTCCCAAAACCGTTGCAAAAAATTTCCAGAATGGCTCAATGCAAAAGCCGCTCCAACACCTCCACACTTGACGCCACATGCTACCCACAGGCTCCAGCATGCAGGGGGGCGGTGCTATAAACCTCCTAGGTGCAATGCATCCTGGGGAAGCTTGCTTTGTATTGCGGGAAAAAATTTGTAAAACAAGACATTATTTTCAATGGATTTTCATTTGTAAATTATATTAACCGAGGTACCACTGTATATGGAAGTAATTAAACTCTAATGGATGACATGGAGGGTACTGGACGAAAACAACTGTGCAAGAATCAGCTTGAGTTTATCAGAGGAATACATTGACTGTTCAATTATTCAGGGACGATAAGTGGAAGGTTTTGAGAAGATCCACACTGCATTAGCAGTTAAGTTAGGAAGGAGTGTATGAGTTTAGATTTCCAACATATCCAGATATAAGACATCATCAGGACCTAAAGAAAGAAGAAACTGGAAGATATAAAGCAGGGATATCCAAAATGTTGTAGAGCTGCCACCCGCGTAATGCTTTTCCATTCTAAACTTAAAGTACTACAACATCTGGGTATCTACTCCTTTGCATCCCAGATGTAAAGTATTCCTGTTTGGGGGGTCTTTTACAGCTGGTTAAAATGGTGGCAGTTAGGATTGGAAGTTTCAGCATATGGTTGCCAATTGAAGTCATTGTATACAGGAACATAAAACATTCTCAGGGGTGATAGTTCAAGGATCTTAGAGACCCAAGAGATGTGTGAGTATGAGATAAATAATGCTATACAGACTTTGGAAGGTTAGGGTTAAGAAATTTCTCCAGTGGTATGAAAGTCTTCAATGATTTATTGAAAACATGTTTCATAAAACCTTGAGCCATCATCTCTAGATTGCAATGGAAACAGTGAAGTATGATGTATTCATTTGAATGTTTTTTGTTGATCAAAAAAGCACCAACCACCTAGACAAGAATAAAACAGGGTAACACAGAATCTTGCCCAATTATGTTTTGCAGACCAAATGAATGAGTGAGATTTATTATGGAGTATGATTGCTGTGTAAGGACAACTTGTGTAGACAATGGTCTTAGTGTTGTTAATATCATAACTTACCCTATTGAATGCCTTTAAAACATTAGTAAGGCGAAGGGTAGTGGGTTTTGAGAAGATAGATTGATTGATGGATCGGAATCTTCGTTATGTCGGAGTGAATGGGATGAGACAGGTTTATTTTGAAGATATTGAATTTGTATAGTTCTTTTAAATACCTAAGGAGTTTAAAAACATTATAGAAACATGTTATTAAATTATCTTAGAAATACAATGTTGTAATGTACAATAAATTATTTTACTAATGATTATTTAAATTAAAACAGAAAAAAAAACTAAATTACATTTTTTTTTAAACTTGCACAACAGTGATCCCACTTCACCCACCAATGTAAATGTTTTTGTTATTGTTGAAAATTGGTTCTTTATTATTTTGCAGAGCTGAAGAAGAAGATGAGCACCTGGAAAGAACGCTAGAACAAAATAAAGGGAAGATGGCCAAGAAAGAAGAGAAATGTGTCATCCAATAACCACTGTTTCCTCGTATGGATTGGATTTTTGCCATGTCCATATTTCCCTTGTGCAGCATTGTTTATTAAGTGACATGGAGCCCAAAAGAGACAATAACTTCAATGTGCAAGAAATATCTTCTACAAATGTCACCAGTTCATTATTCATTTCCTGCATCAATTTTTTGTCTTTTTTTTTTTTTTTTTTACTTAAAATGTTAATCAAGCAGCTTGGTTCAAAACTAGAATGCAAAGTTTTGGGCCAGTTCTAGTTCCTTTCTGGCACACAAGAGGTTAATGTTCATCACAATTACGTTTTCAGGTCTGTTTTCTTATTGCAAATTATTTTGTATAGAAAGATATAAAAAAAAATGGCAAGAGTGACCACCTGTTGAACTAGCCACAGATTGCTACAATAATCTTCCTGCCACAGCTGATGGCATAGGAAGACGGTAATAGGGGATGTGAGGGGGGAGGCAGGGCAGATGAATATTGTTTTAATTGAATTATGCCAGAGAATTAATATGTGAATGAATTGACAGATTAAACTAGTCCTGCCATTTTGTAATAATGTGTAAGCTACCTACCTTTTATTTTGAATGCTATCCATGTAATGCTATATTTACAAGTTAGTGTGTTTATTTGAGACGCTATTTCACATTTTATTCTTGAATAATATAATATAATGAAGATTGTGTATGTTTTGCAGGAAATCATGTCTAACTAATTCCTGCAGTTCTTCCATAGGACGTTTGGCTCCAAATCTTACATCAGTTTACATTTCTCAGTCACATGGCTGAATCTTATATTTTTATTTGGGGGGGACAGGAGGGGAGGAGTGAGGGGGGGGGGAAGAAATCTATTTATTTCATGCTTTTAAATACAACTGAACTTAGACTTTAGCTTCTGGTGCTGTAAATAATATGTATGTCCTGTCTGTCTTATACAGCCCAGTGCAGATATGATATACTGTGTTTCTGGCTATAGGCACCTCTACAATGCCAAATAATAAGGACTACATCACCCAAAATACTCTTCCAGACCAAACCTTGGCAGAGCATCATGGGAGATAGAATCCACAGTATCTAGCATAGCAGAGGTTCCTAAACCTACTGTGTTCTTTTAGCATATACAGCCTGGCATAACTGTGGAACTTATTCTGTTTATTTATTACAATACTGTCATATACAATTTTCAATAAACGCTGAATATTTCTTACCGTATTTCCTTATTCTTAATTCATTCATTTAATACAAGCCTTTCAAATGTTTCTACTTATATCAGAATGCACGTGTATTCATGTTGTTATTTACATTGATTTTTATATGTATACCAAAATTTACTGTGTGCTTTTGTGTCCAGATCTCAATTGCTTTTCAACATAAACAATGTTATCTAAATATTCAACCCAGTAGCCAGTGACTATAGCTCGCAGGATAGCTATAGAGTGAGTATAGCAGTGTTATAGCCTTTACCCCTATAAATTAGTTGAGACTTAATGCTGGGAGAAGATCTGCATTTATTAGGTAGAGCATGGTCATTTATACACGGACCCCTAGCATGTGCCGTGGCTGTACCAGAGTTCCAGAAGAGTTGTGAATGAGTCCAACTGAATTCTTTGTGGCTCTCTGGACTCCGTTTACAGTCAGGGAAAAGGGCGGTGAAATAAGCCAGGGGTGGTGAAAATAGTCTGTTGGTGAAATAATGGCGAGTAAAACAAAGGATAAACATGATGGTGTGGGCTGCTCCTGGTATGGGCACAAGTGACTGAGTGTTCCGTCACAGTAGATATTAAAGGGTTGACAACCCCTGGTCTATACAGGTATAAAGGATACAGTAACTATTAGCCTGTATAGAGTCTGTACTCACTGGGTAATAAGGATCCAGTAACTATTAACCTGCATACAGTCTGTACTCACCGGGTATAAAGGACATCGTAACTATTAACCTGTATACAGTCTGTACTCACCGGGTATAAAGGACATCATAACTATTAACCTGTATACAGTCTGTACTCACTGGGTATAAAGGATCCAGTAACTATTAACCTGTATACATTCTGTACTCACTGGGTATTAGACATGTGCAATTCGTTTCATTCCGAATGCAAATTCTGACAAATTTCGGACATTCGGGTGCTTCCGAATTTTGGAAGTGCCGAACTGCTTTGGATTTCTGAAAAGTGGCAAAGCAGGAGAGGGTTGGGGTAGCATTAGGATTAGGGTAGGATTAGGGGCAAGGTTAGGATTAGGGGTAGAGTTAAGGGTTGGGTTAGTGGTTGGAGTAGGGTGGTAGGGTTAGGTTTTGGGGTCAGCTTAGTTGGTAGGGTTAAGGGCTGGGGTAGGGTAACCCTATTCCTAACCCTACCCTTAACCCAACCCTACCTCTAACCCTAAACCAACCCTAACCCTACCGCTAACCTAACCCTACCCCTACACTTACCCGAAGTTCTGAAGTGTCAAAGTGCCGTGCCGAAGTCCCGAATTTCGGAATGCCGAACTGAATATTTTTCCCATGCACATCCCTACTTGGTATAAAGGACACAGTAACTATTAACATGTATACAGTTGCAAGAAAAAGTATGTGAACCCTTTGGAATGATATGGATTTCTGCACAAATTGGTCATAAAATGTGATCTGATCATCATCTAAGTCACAACAATAGACAATCACAGTCTGCTTAAACTAATAACACACAAAGAATGAAATGTTGCCCTGGACTGTATGCAGGTTAATAGTTACTGTGTCCTTTATACCCGGTGAGTACAGACTGTATGCAGGTTAATAGTTACTGTGTCCTTTATACCCGGTGAGTACAGACTGTATGCAGGTTAATAGTTACTGTGTCCTTTATACCCGGTGAGTACAGACTGTATGCAGGTTAATAGTTACTGTGTCCTTTATACCCGGCGAGTACAGACTGTATGCAGGTTAATAGTTACTGTGTCCTTTATACCCGGCGAGTACAGACTGTATGCAGGTTAATAGTTACTGTGTCCTTTATACCCGGCGAGTACAGACTGTATGCAGGTTAATAGTTACTGTGTCCTTTATACCCGGCGAGTACAGACTGTATGCAGGTTAATAGTTACTGTGTCCTTTATACCCGGCGAGTACAGACTGTATGCAGGTTAATAGTTACTGTGTCCTTTATACCCGGCGAGTACAGACTGTATGCAGGTTAATAGTTACGGTGTCCTTTATACCCGGCGAGTACAGACTGTATGCAGGTTAATAGTTACTGTGTCCTTTATACCCGGCGAGTACAGACTGTATGCAGGTTAATAGTTACTGTGTCCTTTATACCCGGCGAGTACAGACTGTATGCAGGTTAATAGTTACTGTGTCCTTTATACCCGGCGAGTACAGACTGTATGCAGGTTAATAGTTACTGTGTCCTTTATACCCGGCGAGTACAGACTGTATGCAGGTTAATAGTTACTGTGTCCTTTATACCCGGCGAGTACAGACTGTATGCAGGTTAATAGTTACTGTGTCCTTTATACCCGGCGAGTACAGACTGTATGCAGGTTAATAGTTACTGTGTCCTTTATACCCGGCGAGTACAGACTGTATGCAGGTTAATAGTTACTGTGTCCTTTATACCCGGCGAGTACAGACTGTATGCAGGTTAATAGTTACTGTGTCCTTTATACCCGGCGAGTACAGACTGTATGCAGGTTAATAGTTACTGTGTCCTTTATACCCGGCGAGTACAGACTGTATGGAGGTTAATAGTTACTGTGTCCTTTATACCCGGTGAGTACAGACTGTATACAGGTTAATAGTTACTGTATCCTTTATACCCGGTGAGTACAAACTGTATACAGGTTAGCTGTTAGGCTTTCTTTTACATTTGGAAGGTTATCCATGTAGTCTGATAATATCTTTACTTTAGACTTATCTCCATGCAGCTAGTTATCTGTAGAATTAGGATAGGGAGTCAGAATATGCTTTAGTAAATGGATTTTTGAGATTGGGGCAATTTAGTAATCTCACTCTTAGTTAGTGTGGAGTATGGAGGCACAGTTTTTGAGTATCCTACTGGGGAAACGGCATGCTTTAGTCCTGGTTGGGCGATTACTTTTTCTTAGCATCCACTTAGGCTCTACGCTGCACAGATCCCAGATACTGCTTTTACACTTAAACTGTATTGAAGGGTTATCTCAAGGGAGTCTTTTAAACCCTTAACCCTTAATTCCCAGCTTCCGAGTATTGGACCCTGAATCCCCTAGGTAGGCAGGGGAAACTATTGTTGGTCCTTATTTCCCTCCCCCTGGGTCACTATACTTGGTAGGATTTTTTTTACAATACCCCATCTGTCTACCTTCATATAGCTATCTGCTTCCACCTTTATACCTACCTTAGCTGCTTGAATTGAGACTGTAAGTATACAATTGAGACCTGGTATATATAGTCACCTGTTTGTAACATATTTATACCAGTTGCTATTCTCCCAAAGATACTTTATAATGTTATTTGAGCTGCTTTGTATTTGGATATCTCTACAGTAGCCATTTATAAGATACACTAGGCAGGCTACATGGATTTTTTCCTTTTTAAGCCACTAGCATGTTTTTTTGTGTCACTTATTTAGTCTCATGTTTATGTATAGTCTAACGTATAGTATTGAATAAAGATATTGATATTTGTATTTCTAACCCCTTAAACTGAGTTGTTACTCTTTATGTGGGTAAATCTTTGGCATTTTTTCTTGAGAATTGATATCCGTGTGTCCCTGGCACTCGGGTTCTCGCTCTCAATATACCTGCTTAAGATATCCTGTCTTTTCTCTTGAATTATTACACTTTACCCACTTAGTCCTCTCTCTGACTTTAGGGCTAGGATGTCCTGTCCCTCTGGTCCCCTCTTTTTCACAGACTGTATGCAGGTTAATAGCTGCTGGATCATTTATTGTCACATATTCATCCACACATAAAAATGAGGTTAATGGCATTTACCGCCCTGACAGGAAAAGTTGTGCCGAGCAGCAATCATGCACATGGAAACCTGGTAATTGCGGTTACAGCCAATCGGATCCACAGGAGGCGTATTTCAACCCAATTCTCCTTTTGCTCATTGCCCTGTCGTGGTTTCATCCTGATGGTAATCCGAGAGTGAGTTCCTGATCTTGATTTTCTGGTATTTGATTTTTTGCTTCGTTTTGACTTCCCTGAATTCTGGTATCCTTGACTTTTGGCTTTCCCTCATCATTGTATCTGATTCTGTGTTCCTGACCTCGGCAAGTAATTTGACTATTTTTGAAGACGTTAAGTCCGGCCAAGGTCCGGTTATACATTATCCTTAGTCCTAGTCAATTTGTAATCCTGACATTTATACCCAGTGAGTACAGACTGTATACAGATTAATAGTTACTGTACAGATATACACACACGGTGTATCTATATACTAATATAGCAATATACAGATATACACAGACATGGTGTATTTATATACTAATATAGCAATATACAGACATGGTGTATCTATATGCTAATATAGCAATATACAGATATACACAGACATTGTGTATCTATATACTAATATAGCAATATACAGATATACACAGACATGGTGTATCTATATACTAATATAGCAATATACAGATATACACAGACATGGTGTATCTATATACTAATATAGCAATATACAGATATACACAGACATGGTGTATCTATATACTAATATAGCAATATACAGATATACACACACATGGTGTATCTATATACTAATATAGCAATATACAGATATACACAGACATGGTGTATTTATATACTAATATAGCAATATACAGACATGGTGTATCTATATACTAATATAGCAATATACAGATATACAGAGACATTGTGTATCTATATACTAATATAGCAATATACAGATATACACAGACATGGTGTATTTATATACTAATATAGCAATATACAGATATACACAGACATGGTGTATCTATATACTAATATAGCAATATACAGATATACACAGACATGGTGTATCTATATACTAATATAGCAATATACAGATATACACAGACATGGTGTATCTATATACTAATATAGCAATATACAGATATAGACAGACATGGTGTATCTATATGCTAATATAGCAATATACAGATATACACAGACATGGTGTATCTATATACTAATATAGCAATATACAGATATACACAGACATGGTGTATTTATATACTAATATAGCAATATACAGATATACACAGACATGGTGTATCTATATGCTAATATAGCAATATACAGATATACACAGACATGGTGTATCTATATGCTAATATAGCAATATACAGATATACACAGACATGGTAGCAATATACAGATATACACAGACATGGTGTATCTAATATAGCAATATACAGATATACACAGACATGGTGTATCTATATACTAATATAGCAATATACAGATATACACAGACATGGTGTATCTATATACTAATATAGCAATATACAGATATACACAGACATGGTGTATCTATATACTAATATAGCAATATACAGATATACACAGACATGGTGTATCTATATACTAATATAGCAATATACAGATATACACAGACATGGTGTATCTATATACTAATATAGCAATATACTGATATACACAGACATGGTGTATCTATATACTAATATAGCAATATACTGATATACACAGACATGGTGTATCTATATACTAATATAGCAATATACTGATATATACAGACATGGTGTATCTATATACTAATATAGAAATATACATATATACACAGACATGGTGTATCTACATATTAATATAGCAATATACAGATATACACAGACATGATGTATCTATAGACTTATATAGCAAAATACTGATATACACAGACATGGTGTATCTATATACTAATATAGCAATATACAGATATACACAGACATGGTGTATCTATATACTAATATAGCAATATATAGATATACACAGACATGGTGTATTTATATACTAATATAGCAATATACAGACATGGTGTATCTATATACTAATATAGCAATATACAGATATACACAGACATGGTGTATCTATATACTAATATAGAAATATTCTGATATACACAGACATGGTGTATCTATATACTAATATAGCAATATACAGATATACACAGACATGGTGTATCTATATACTGATATAGCAATATATAGATATACACAGACATACAGTGTATCTACATACTAATCTAGTAATGGATAGGTATATACAGACACATACCATGTATCAATAAAGCAATGTGTATATGACTATATAAAATAATACATAAAGGTGCATAGCAATTGATTAATGAATATCCATATACACCAAACACAAACATACAGCATATGAATAAATATTACACAAGTGGATAGTGAATAGCTATATCCAGCAATGCACAATGAATAGATATTACATGGCCAAGGATAGCTATATACAGAGATACAATGTACCATTACATACAACGTGTCAATGTGGATTCACTGTGTTTATTGAGCTTTTAGAGCTAAATTAGCAACATTAACTACAGTAATCAGACCTGGTACAAACAGTGCTCCCATCACTTGATATGTATACAGATCACTCACAGATATATCCCAATTATTACTTTTATAGGACAGCAAGCATTAAACTTAACCAGATATAATAAATATCCTATAAGAAGAGAATCATCATAACTGATAATAATTAATAATAATCCATAATAGTAACTATTAACCAGATTGACTCACTGATTGAAATGCTCTCTCATAGTCTAATCTGAAATGAACCATATTAATTTCTAATCAAATCGCCTTTTTTTATTCTATCTTTAGAACCATTATCAATGTATTATTGCTCAGAGAACTGATTTATTTTTGCGTTGAAACAAGGGGTATCATGCGATTCGTCGCTCAAATTAAGAGGTTGAAATGAAATTAAAGTGAAAGCTGTAATCCCTGAGAGATATAAGGCAAGGGCTGCTACTACATAGCCAAAGCTTCCTCACTGGAGCTCACAGGTCCATTGCCAGAGCTCCCTCCCTGGAGCTCACTCATATAACTCTCAGGTCCACGGTCAGAGCTCCCTCCCTGGAGCTCACAGGTCCACTGCCACTGCCAGAGCTCCCTCCCTGGAGCTCACTCATATAACTCTCAGGTCCACAGTCAGAGCTCCCTCCCTGGAGCTCACAGGTCCACTGCCAGAGCTCACTCCCTGGAGCTCACAGGTCCACTGCCAGAGCTCACTCCCTGGAGCTCACAGGTCCACTGCCAGAGCTCACTCCCTGGAACTCACAGGTCCACTGCCCGAGCTCCCTCCCTGGAGCTCATTCATATAACTCTCAGGTCCACAGTCAGAGCTCCCTCCCTGGAGCTCACAGGTCCACTGCCAGAGCTCCCTCCCTGGAGCTCATTCATATAACTCTCAGGTCCACAGTCAGAGCTCCCTCCCTGGAGCTCACTCATATAGCTCACAGGTTCAAAGCCAGAGCTCCCTCCATGGAGCTCACTCACATGTAGCGCACACAGGTCCACAGACAGAGCAATTTGGAAACTCCATGAACTTTCACCCCAATCCAGGACCATGTTGTGTGACAGAGCCAGTGGGGCTGACTGTCCTGAGTGACTCCTGGTCCATATCCTGGCGGTGTATCTGCCCCAGTCTGAGGGCTCAGTAAGATAGCACCAGGGCTGCAGCTTCTCCTCCTGCTCGCTCCTTCATTCACCTCCTCTTTCTGGATCCACTAAGCCATGTACACCATCCAGCTCACATCCTGCAGCATTAAACTGCTTCACACACTAAACTTTTGTTTAGTGTTTTTCTTTTTCTTTCTCTTCTGCCCCCCCACCCCCATAAACATCCCTTAATCCGAGGTTTATGGGCAGAGGCATTAAGAAAATTCTCCTGCAATTTGGGATTAGCCAGAATACTCTTATTACAGAAAGGCTTTCTGCCACTTGATACCTTCAGACTGTATAGAGCTGAACACGTCAGCCTGGGAGAGATCCCAAACTCAGCCAGACAGGGCCTGTACAGCACAGGATACAATATATCTACCAAAAAAAACTGCTCATTATTCACACACACAATATTCATTCTTTATATACACACACACACACACAATATTCATTCTTTATATATACACACACACACACACACACAATATTCATTCTTTATATACACACACACACATACACAATATTCATTCTTTATATACACACACACAATATTCATTCTTTACACACACACACACACACACACACACACACACAATATTCATTCTTTATACACACACACACACACACACAATATTCATTCTTTACACACAGAATATCTGATAATTCCCACAGTGAATAATTCATTTTTTACACACATAATTCATTCTTTACACACAGAATATCTGATAATTCACACACAATATGTAGTTCTTTATTGCTACAAATTCACATTCTTCACAGACATAATTCACAGACCACATTATTACCATTCTGAATTTAGAACATCCGATCATATACTCTGAATATCACATTTATTATTACAATATCTCATTACCGCATTCATTATTAGAGGATCACACTTTGTTTATATTAAATATCGCATTAATTATCCTAATATCTCATTCTGTATTCGGAATACAATTTGCATTATTACAGCATTTAATTCTTCATATTAATTATAGCAGTAATGATTACACCATCTCAATCTGTATATTGATTATCCCATGTGTTATTACAGCATCTCATTCTATATATTGAATATCGCACGAAATATTACATCTCATTCTATGTAGTGATTATCGCACGAATTATTACATCATTTTATGCTATATATTGATAATCGCGTGAATTATTACACCTCATTGCTATATATTGATTATCGCATGAATTATTACATCTCGTTCCATATAGTGATTATCGCATGAATTATTACATCATTTGATGCTATATATTGATAATCGCATGAATTCTTACATTGTCGCATTCTATAACATTCTTTAAATTAATCATTGCATGCGTTATTAGAGCATCTAATTATTTACATTAAATATTGGATTCATTGTTAGAATGTGTTATTCTATAAAGAAAATATCCTATTCTTTGATTATTACATAATTCGATGCTATATTCTGATTATCGAATGGATTACAATATATCTTTCCTTACATAGAATATCTGTACAGAGCGTGGTATTTATGTGGATTAAATAATTCTATCATTTCACACACATTGTAATTATTGATCTTGTACAATTAAATAAATTGATGATTTTCCAAAGTAAAATTCTAAGCAACAAAAACGAGCGAATTATAAAATAAATTTTAAAAAACTATCTGATATCTGTATGGATAATGTGACTACAAAACTAAACAGAAACAAAAGAAATTGCCCCAAAAGAGGATTTTGTTTGTGGGGGATTAGGAAATAGGGGTGTGATTATTTTTGTGCAGGGGGTGCAGTGTCTTTGTTCTAGGGGAAAGTACCCGTGTTGAGATGACTTTTTGTGGACTACAGAAAGATCTTAAATGCCCCCCTCCCTCCTTCCTAACCTGCCCATCCTTTGATGACTTGCCCCCCTCTTTATGGTCCTCAAAAAATGTAATTTTGTTCCTCTGGCGGGCACTTTCTTTGAACATTAGCTCGCTTTCAGATCCAACTTCAATTAGAACCAGTTGAATTTTTTTTTTTTTTTAAATTCTTTTGAGAGATCGACAAAAGATTTTGGCAAAGCCGCATTAACCCATTCCCTGCCAATTGTTGTCCCACAATGTGTGTGATTTTGTTTTCTTCTTCTGAGAGTATCTGATGAACCTCCTAAGAACTTCTGGCACTTTTGAATTCCCCCTCTCCTCTCTAGACAGCAGAGCTGACACTTTATATGTAATATTAATCTGCAATAACACATGGATGCTTTAATGCCCCATTTGCAACAAATATATTTTACCAAATAGAAAGAAAATTTCAGTGTAATTCTTGGGGCCCCGTGTCTTACCCATTAGCAACAAGTTACAGAGGGATGGCTAGAATGTTAGTGATCAGGTCTTGCAAATTGCTAAATATTATTCATCCGTTAACAGGCAGGAATATATATTTAAACAATAAATAAAATTAGAGGGGAAAACATTTTAAAAAATAATAAATTAGCAATAGATTTATTTCACTTCAAATTATTTTTTCTCCTCATTTTTTGCTGTTTTTTTTTTTGTTGTTATTTGTATCTGTGTGTTTTCTTCAAATTCCCACTTTTATTCAGATCAACCGTTTACTGCTGAAAATGACCATTTACAAAATTAGCTCTTTTTTCATACTGATAATAATTGATCTGAATTTTGGGCTTACATTACCTGTTGCCGTTTCCTAAATAATTTCTGGAAATAAAACTAATTAAGTAGTTAAACTGTGTCCCAGAGTAGTTGGTAAATACAATCAATGAGACACTATCTACGTTTAACTTTCTAAATCTATTATTCCTAATGGGAGCTAATTATTCAGATTGTATCTACTGGCTCTTTAATTACATTGTCTCTCTGTATCACTGACTCTTACATCAGGTGACTGTAGTCATTTTTATATTTTACTATCAAATAACGCTGTCACATATATATATACAGCATTCAGACTTTATTTCAGTTTTGTTTGTTTTTTAACCTCAGATATTTGTGAATTATTTAATAGAATTAACTCATAGAATTTACACTGTAGCAAATTAATTATTTTTAAAAAATATTTCATATTACCAGTTTGACATGAAAACCGAATATGTGTTTGCTTTTTTTTTTTTTTCAGATTGTCTATAATTTTATATTGTGAGCAAATGGATACATTTCAAATTTTATTATTATTTTTATTTATTTTTATGAAAAGAACAATATTAAAAACTGTCTGATTACAATTTTTTAATAATATTAATAATAATAATAAAGGTATAATTTATAGTAACAAAATGGCAACATCTCATTAATCTAAAGCTGTTTTCTCTCATATTTTCCCTTAATAATAATGATTTTTTGAAAAACATATTTTATTTATATTAAGAAGTCACTCTACTTACTAATGTTGATTGTATTAATTTTTATATGAGTATTTTTGAGGCTATAGAGATTAACCCCTTACACACAGTCCAGCACCCACTTCCCCTATTCTGCATGCAGCTTCCCATCTCCCAACAGCAGGAGTCTAGCTTGTTCAATGCTGGGCTGGGGCGTGTAGAGGTGAGCAAAGAACTAGCCTTATCATTGGCCAGCTCTCGCGTCTGTCTCTGGCTTCGCCGCCTGTGATTGGTGGGAGGGCGTCAGCAGGCTACCGCCCCTCTCTCACTTACAAGGGGTAGGGCTACAGCAGGGTGATCAATCTCCATCAGTCTGCATTTCCAATCACTTAAAGCGGCGGGCGCAGGACAGAAACGCTCCCCACAAGGTAAATCATTTGATTTATTGCTCTCTCTCTGCAGGCTGCTCTCCTGACAAGCATTTCCCTGTCTGAATGTCACCCACACACTGCTCCCTGGCTCAGGAACTAAGTTTATTATTTGGGGGTGTGAAGGGAGGGGGCTCCTTCCTTTCTAAAGTAATAAACTGGCTAATCCTACATTTACTATAAAGTTCAGATTGGGGGTGATGGGGTAAGGGTGATTATAACAGCTAAATAAAGTACCTGGAGCAGTAATGGTGGATAGGGGAGGCCTGGGCTCAGAAAGACTTTTCTAAATCCTTTCTAGTTCCTGGGTAAGACTGGGTCCCCCTCTCACTGTCCTCTGAGCTCCCTTTATATTAGTTTAGTTTGTTTTGCTGTGTTGATGTTGTTGTGTTCAACTCTTGGTGTATGCTGGAGAGAACTTGTAGTTTCTCACCTTAAGTGATCTTAGTGTCCCTGTTTGTTTTAGCCTCTTTCTCTGTCTCTCCTCCTACCTGCTCGGGATTATACAACAGGGCAGGTTTAGTTGCCAAAAACCTTGTCTACAGAACACTCCTACCCTTCTGAGGTAAAACTTTCTCAATCGAAAACATATTAATGGGTCATAATTCTAACCAGCAGACACATTGCTTAACTTTAATCCCTCAAACATTAAAGTATCCAAAATGTAGAATCTAAAATATGATATTTTTTTTACTTGAAAATGTATCCGTCTGTAACTTGAATATTGATCAGTCTATCGTTTTGTAACTTTGAATAAATTCATGCCTGGATTCCAGGTCAGAGCAGTGGGTGATTGGGGGTGGTGGGTCTCTGATAATTGCTGGGGTGGGGAGTTATAGTGGATTTTTTTTTTGTTATCTCTTCCTGGGAGTCTTATTTATTTGTCTTTGAATGCTTTGCCTTGCTGTTTGTAAGGATAATTTAGATCTGTTTTACAAGTAAATGCAAAGTGGTGATTCATTACAGAAAAAATAAAACCCTCCTTTTATTTTCCCCATTTAATATTGTAAATCCATTTTACTGGGAAGTTATGTAAATGTACTATTTGAAAACAAATCCCTATTAATTAGTGATTGTACATACACTATTTTTCTTGGTGGGGGAAAATCGATTTCCTATCAATGGTTCCTATCAGTAAAAAACAAAAAAGTTTACCTAAACAATGAATTAGGCTTGGCTAAAACTCCTCTAATTGTACTTATGTATAATCTAGATGTAGTTACAGTAAAACACAAAACCTGAAAAGGGGTCTCTTTATTTTTTTTTTAGGGTGTGATACTATCCGGCCCACAACTAATATTCATATTAAATCAGTCACTCTGTCTGTCTCCTGTTTATTTTAAAATCAAAGCTAAATAGAGTAAAAATTAAAGGTACTGCTAATTTAATTTTCATTTTACAAAGTGTCTAATTGAATCAGAGGTGTAAATTCTGTAGTCGATTCTGAGTTCTTTTGCATTAGAATTGATAAAACACTTCAGTCTAGTCTGTAGTTACCTCCCACATCACACTTTGCAGATAGAATTTTGACACATGTAAATTTAAAGTTCTAACAGAGAAGATTCTTAGCTCTTTCCTCTCAATATTTTTAAAATCCTACAGAATACATCGGTGTGATTCCTTTTTTTTTTTTTATCCTACGTTTGTCGAAACGTTTACTAGGGGCAGTAAATCGAGAGAGTGATGAGAAAGGTGTGTTTAATTATATATAATATATTGGCTATATTTCCATTCTATAAAAGAGGAAATTACGGGGGTCTTATTAAATTGACAATTTTCTCACCTATTAAAATGAACTATTTTAGTAAGAGATATTCACGTACAAAACTTTTTTTTCGACTTCTCTTTATACAGGATGCTGTGAATTCACTCTAGGGCAAAATAAATTGATGTAGGATTATAATTTCGCTCCTTTTAAAAACGTATCGAAACGATTTATCAGTGGATAATTTTGGGGACCCCTGTCAAGCTTTTAGCATGATGTCATACCTCAAACAGCCCCCTTATGGAATGAATGGACTGGGGCTAACAGGACCTGGGATGGATCTACTGCATCCTTCTGTGGGATATCCAGGTAAGACCCTCAAACACCCTATGTGAAATGAATGGACATTTATATCATATTTAATGGATCTGTTTGTTTGGTGGTTTGTTTGTGGTGTTTTTCTTTGACCTCTTTTGATTGTATACATTGAAAGCTGAATTCAATGAGCAGAAAATGGTGCAAATTTCTACAGGGAAGGCAGTTACTAAACTGAGGAAAAAAATACATTTTTAACTTGTGAATTTTGGCCGATAATTTGTGATTCCCTGGTGGATTCCCAGCAATTGCCGAGCTAGTTTTATTGACTAAATAAATCAAGAACTCGCTAAAAGTGAACCGTTTTATTTCTTCACTGATGTAATTGGGATGTTTTTATCGCTGGATATGTAATAAGTACTTTGCTTTTTGTTTTCTCCCTCCTGTAATTTAGCAGCATTAAACCCCTGGTACCTTGCTAGGCCAAGATACACAATGGCTATCTAATAAAACCGAGTATACTGTAGGTAAAAATATACATTAGGAAGTGTGTATGTATATATTACACTTCCTAACTTATACTGATTCCTACAGACTTGCAGTATACTCTGTTATATTATTTGGCCATTTTGTGATTGATTAATAAATATATGTATGTATATTATTTATTATGTCATCAGATTCCGTAGCGCTTTACAATATTATGAGAGGGGGGATTTAACTATAAATAGGACAATTACAAGAAAACTTACAGGAACGATAAGTTAAAGAGGACCCTGCTCAAACGAGATTACAGTCTATAGGTTGTGTGTGTGTGTGTATGTATATATGTATGTATATATTTCTTTCCCCTTTATTTAAATTCCGGATTATTCATTAAAGTGCAAATTTAATTTGTGGGGGGTTTTTTTTTCCCCCAAAATAGTCGAACTACCAAAATATTAGGAGTCACTGCTATTTTAAATTCGACTATCTGTACCTACAATTTCGAATTCCAGTGAGGATACAAATGTACTTTAGAGGGAGGAGGATAGAAGTTACACAGTGTATAATATATATTAGAAACACAATGTACCGATTCTGGCTAAAGACACAAAGTATAGTATGTTAAAATGGTCATAAAGGTAGATCACGTTTAGCTAAAAATTCAAACTTGAAATGTTTTAACTGCGTAGTGATAGTATCTGTATAAAATTCAGAAACTATAGATACATAGTTAGAGTATCTGTATAATCAGATACTATAAAGTGTAATAACTTAAATCTATTAAACTATCCATATTTTCCTTAATAATTAGAATTATCAAGATTCGAGTCTATACTCCGATTTAAACTTTGTTCACTGTGTCCCATTCCACTCAAACAAACGTAAATTGTTGAGAGTTCAAAGCGATTTCCCCAAATTAGGCCACAATGACTAACTTACAAATATTCTCAGTCTTATATGGTTTATTACTTTACATTTTGGTTAAAAATGTGAAATTAATTTTGAATTCCTGACAGTGTCCACTTTCATGAGTGAATCTGCAGGTAGTGTTGTTAAAATGTATGTTTCTGCTCTGGGCTAAGATAGGGCCTATCTGTCCAGACACATTTAGCGCAGGAAATTGTCCATTAATGTGAATATATTTACAGCCATGAAACTGGATATTGGGTGAAGTTCACAGGTCAAAATAATCTGAACTAAAACTCGGAGATGTGATCTGTAGGTTTGCAGAGTGTAAACTAGCAATGCTTGATAGTGTGTGTGTGTGTGTGTGTGTGTGTGTGTGCAAAATATGAAATATTAGTAAGGTTTTCTCATCTTTGTTTGTTTTTAGAACTTATCTGAAATATAAGTTGAGTAATATTACATTTAAATTTTTTTTAACACAAAATAAAAATTACTTGGTGGGGCAAATACAAGCGGTTTTTGATGAGATGAAATGCTAATTGGATGAGGGAAAATCAACGTTTTGGCCACAAAATACTGAATACTTGAACACTCTGTAAAATTATCTCCCTGACAGACTTTTCAGAGGAGTTTAAACATTGTGATACTATTGTAATAGAGTCAATTTAATATATATATAATACAGTAATATATGTAATTATACACAGTATACATATTTTATGAACCCGATGTAGACGTTGGTAAGGTTGTGTAATGCGATTGGGTGCTGCAATTTACAAATATTGATTTAAAAAACAAAAAAAATATTATCCGAATATGCCTGTTTTAAGCGATTCCGTATAATATACATTGTGTATGTATTTTTTTTATTTTTTTTTTATTTTTATGTATTGGGGGAAATTATACAGTTTCATTTTCGAGTTTTGTGTTCAGGACGGATGTTAACCAAAACTTAAATTTAACAATTTTGGCGAGAGTTGTTTTTTTTTAGCAAACTTTATACATAAAGTGTCTTTCTAGATCCCCAAACAGCGAATTAAAATAAGTATGTAGATAATAAAATAGTCTGCGAGGATAATGCGCAACAGTTGAAGTTAAAGAACCTATTCACTAATATAGTGAACAGAGTATAAACTATGCACTAATATAATAAAACTTAAATCTATCCAATAATATGGTGACTAAAGTATAATACTAAAACTACAATCTACACAATGATATACACTAATAAATCTAACTATAAATTATACAACAATATAGTGATCAAAGTGTAACTTATATAGTGATAAAACTAAAGTCTACACAACAATATAGTAATTAAAGTATAATCCATAAACTAATATAATAATCGATCATTTATACAACAATATAGAAATCAAAATAATACAGTAATAAAACTACAATCTACACAATAATCTAGTGATCAAACTATAAATGTACATTATTTATATAATGTGCAAGCTGTAACCTGTGCAATAATTGAGAACTAACCGTAACCTATATTTATTTAGTGAACAAACTATGACCTATACATCAATTAATATAGCTATAATCTGTATTTACAGCGATCAAACTATAATATCGACCTTTATATAGCAAACAAACTATAACCTTATATAGCATTATATGATGAGCCAGCCAATAACCTATACATAACGTTTACATGGTAAACAAACTACAACTTTATGTAGCGAACAAATTATAACCTATGTACTAACACAGCGAGTTTAGAATATATATATATATAATATAAACAGTGGGTATGCTACAACCCATCTACCAATTCCATGAGTATAGTTTACACAAGTCATGTATGCATTATAATGCGTTCATTATTGTGCTGGGCAAGCTGTAATCTGTACATAAAGTGAACAAACTAGGACTTGTGTATTAATAGTGAGCTAATACCGAGTTTAACTCGTTTTATACACCAGTTACGGGCTCCTTGTCTTCCTCAGAATGTGTTGGTAATGAGGAATGCCCAGCTCCTGGTAAACATTGTTACATTTGGTTGCTATGGATACTCTGATCCCGGAGCAGAGAGTGGGAAGCACGTGTTGGTGTCTAGGTGTGACCTTGTCCCCCTCTCTTTTCCCCCAGCCACCCCGCGGAAGCAGCGCAGGGAGCGGACGACCTTCACCCGGTCCCAGCTGGACGTGCTGGAGGCTCTGTTCGCCAAGACTCGGTACCCGGACATCTTCATGAGAGAAGAAGTGGCCCTAAAGATCAACCTGCCGGAGTCTCGAGTTCAGGTTTGTTACCGAATACATTACTGGCCCTTACCGGTGTCAGGGGTCCCTGGGCCACTCTTGCCTTGTTCTAAACTTCATTAATTTCCTCATGTTCCCCTGCATTCATACACCGTCTTGCACTCCATAAAATCGATCCTCTGCATCTTATTTCCCCTTAGATCTAATAGTATTGATTGACTTCAATACAATGTCCACCCAGTATTTGATAGCAGTAACCTGACTGAGGGCACATACAAGGGCTGTCTGGTTAGTGTGAGGATTTGGGGGGTTCTCTGCTGGTGGAAGGGGACCCCATGCAGCAGCTGATCAGGTAATCCCATGCTCCCTGGGGTCAGTGTTGGAGCTGTGCACACAGATAGGGAGAGGGGATCTGGGACTGTGTTCTCTTATCAGCTGCCATCAGACCCAGTGTGGATTGTGCTCAATGCCCCCCCCCCTTCATAAAGGAAGCATCTGCTGGAGCTGAATATCATTACTAGCCATAATGGCAGGTTTCAGGGGTTTAGTGTCACTAAGCTCTACACCTCCTTTAAATATGTCTGCTGGCTGGATGGGGCCTACTCCCTCCTAATTCCTGCTGTGAGAACATGGTGTGCTGGCAGAGGGCACCTGGGCAATACATGCTGTGGGAGTGCCACCTGTCTGTCTCCTGAGCCCATTGTGGGCGAGTTAGTGAAACTGGGTGTGTTTGGCAGTTTCTGTGCCCATTGAGTGGCCATGTCTCCTGTATAGGCCCTGTTTGCCCACTTGCTTGCTTTTTCAGGCCAGAGTTGGGCTGTGCCAGTGGAATGGCTGTCCTGGCTGGGGGTTGTGGGGGTGCATGTCTGCCTGTAGGGTCTGTGAGGTGATGGTGTGAGGGAGGGGGGTCTGCCTGTTTTGGATGGGAGGTGGCAGGGGAGAATCTTCCTGTCCTGTATGAGGGGTGTCTGCCTGTTTTGGCTGGGGGGTGTCTGCCTGTTTTGGCTGGGGGTTGGTGAGGGGGAGGTGTCTGTCTGTTTTGGCCGGGGGGGATTTGAGGGGGGAGGTGTCTGCCTGTTTTGGCTTGTCTCTGCCTGTTTCTGGCTATGATGGGGTGTCTGCCTGTTTTGGCTGGGGGGGGTCTGCCTGTTTTGTCTGTGAGGAGGGGGGGATGTCCTGTGCCTGTCCTGGTTGGGGATGTGTCCCTTCTCACGGTGATACAATGCCAGGAGTGACACACACAGCAGCCATTTCCCTGGGATTACTGAGCTATGTTAATAGGTGGATTATCCTTTCAGTTTCCTGGAGCCCATCCTCGGTAAGAGTCGCTCAGTGCCCGGGGCTGTCTCGGCAGCGCCCTCTACAGACAGAATAGGTCTCTACAGAGCCACAGTTCCCGCCTTAACTGGAGGGAGAGACCACCTGGGGCTTTTTAACTCTCTCACTGCTAATCTGTAGCAGTTCTATGTAGTATAACTTTATTAGTATTGAATATATCAGCCCATGGTGTTACTGTATCTGTATAGGGACTCGCTGCTACAATGTATACTGTAGGCATTAGATCTCTCCATATAAACTGCCTTCATCAATCTGGGCACATTATGGCAGTACAGTACTCGTTATTACCCATAATGGCCAGTCCGCTTTCAGGCTGGGACTGCAATTCCTATGAGGCTCAGTCCTTCACCTATGGCTCCCCGAGTTTCTCATAGTATCCAGCTGTATCCATGTACATTATAATGTATTCTGTAATCTATATTAATAATTAGCAGGAGCATCACTTTATATTACTTAACAGTTACTGTTTATCCAGCATTCCTGGGAATCATTGACCTCAGGATAATTATCACATAAATAGTTCATTTTATTTAGAGCGACCTTTCCCAATCGCACGATCTGCGTTGGTGACGTCATGTCAGGGTTATAACACGTCATAATGTAAACCTGTCATAGTTTCAGGGTTGATAACCGGATTCAGAATTCGGTTTAACCAATTGTTTCCTGTAGATTAGTTGGTTCTGTTCTTGTGATCGGCCATTAGATCCCAGTGTAAGGAAGGCAGTGTGTGTGTGATTAACAAACAAGTCAGTTTTTATTCACCAGACTAGTTAGATTGAGCTGTTTGCCTTCATATTTCAGCTCTGCCACTAGCCCACTCCGAGGAACAGGTAGCCCAGTGTTTGAGCACTCTGGATGTAAAGCACACACTGAGGAAGTGTTGGGAGCTGGAGATGGTCCTGGCCCGGCTGGGATGTGATGGGCAGCTCTCCAGACTCTAGATGTGTTACCCTCTATCCAGGGTAGTTTATTATTCCTTTATCATGTGAGCTTTAAAGGGCTGCTCTCGGTATAACCCTTCCTGGTATCCCACAGCTATACAGGGTCCATTCTATAATGGCAATGTTCAATCCAGCACTGTGTAACTAGTAATGAGAGGAATTGAAACATTAGATTCTGTCTATAGCTGCATGGCGGTCACAGGCCAGGTACACCCTGCACATATGGCTTTTACCCAGTTTAGCTCCATATGATACAGATCAGAATGGGATTCACCAACACAAAGCTCAGCTGTAATGATGTAAACACATTGTATATACAGCCACTGTGAGGCTTCTGTTTGGGATTTGAATTCATATATTAATATTTTAACACTATAATCGCTCTACTTGTTCCATTAAGTCATATTTATCTCATCCAACAACAAACTTTAAACAAACAAAACTTGGGTAAAAGTTCGAAAATCCGGCCTAACATTCTATTACGTTCTATGTAGAAGGCTCTACTCTATCCCTCGTTTTCTTTCTAAATCCCATCCTATATATCTGTGTATGTATAGAAAGTGTATGATGTATTTCTGTGTATAGACAGCCTGTATGACATATTAACCCCTGGGCTCCCAGCAGACAGCCTGTATGACATATCTGTTTAGAGTATAGTCTTTATAATGACGTATTAACCCTTGATATCTCGGTATAGACAGCCTGTGTAAAGACATGTTAACCCCCAGACAGCCTGTATGATATATTAACCCACTGAGATCCCAGCAGACACTGTGTATGATGACATATTAACCCCTGAGCCCCTAGCAGACACCCTCCCTGTATGATGACATGTTAACCCCTGAGCTCCCAGCTGATACCCTGTATGATGATATATTAACCCCCTGAGCTCCCAGCTGATACCCTGTATGATATATTAACCCCCTGAGCCCCCAGCTGATACCCTGTATGATGACATATTAACCCCTGAGCCCCTAGCAGACACCCTCCCTGTATGATGACATATTAACCCCCTGAGCTCCCAGCTGATACCCTGTATGATGACATATTAACCCCTGAGCCCCTAGCAGACACCCTCCCTGTATCATGATATATTAACCCCCTGAGCTCCCAGCTGATACCCTGTATGATGACATATTAACCCCTGAGCCCCTAGCAGACACCCTCCCTGTATGATTACATGTTAACCCCTGAGCTCCCTGTATGATTACATGTTAACCCCTGAGCTCCCTGTATGATGCTGTGTGATGTGTACCCTGTCTAACCCCCCTGCCCTCTATTCCAGGTCTGGTTTAAGAACCGCAGGGCTAAGTGCCGGCAGCAGCAGCAGCAGCAGACCAGTTCCAGCGGAGCCAAGAGCCGGCCGGCCAAGAAGAAGTGCAGCCCGGCCCGGGAGAGCTCCGGCTCGGAGAGCAGCGGCCAGTTCACCCCGCCAGCCGTGTCCAGCTCCTCCTCGTCCTCCTCCTCGTCCAGCTCCAACTCCTCCGGGAACCCCGGCCTGGGAGCCGGCCCTCTGAACGGCAGCACCCCCACGGCCTCCTCCATCTGGAGCCCGGCCTCCATCTCCCCTGGCACCGGCCCCGTGCCGGGATCGGCCCCAGACCCCCTGGGCCCAGCCAGCGCCTCCTGCATGCAGCGCTCTGGGTCCTCCTCCGCAGCCTCCTACCCCATGTCCTACAGCCAGGCAGCCGGCTACACCCAGGGCTACCCTGCCCCCTCCTCCTCCTACTTCGGAGGGGTGGACTGCAGTTCCTACCTGGCCCCCATGCACTCCCACCACCACCCCCACCAGCTCAGCCCCATGACCCCTTCCTCCATGTCTGGCCACCACCATCACCACCACCTGAGCCAGACCTCCAGCCACCATCACCACCACCATCACCACCAGGGCTATGCCAGCACAGGGCTGCCCTTCAACTCATCTGACTGTCTGGACTACAAGGACCAAGCCACAGCCTCCTCTTGGAAACTCAACTTTAACTCCACTGAGTGCCTGGATTACAAAGATCAGGCTTCCTGGAGGTTCCAGGTCCTGTGAGCCAAAGAGGAACCCCCTTCTTCTGTTTTGTCCACAGCCTCCATAAATAAATCTAAATCTATATATATATTAAAAAAAATGAGGAAGTCAACCCTAGTGGAACTACCTGAACATATTAAGAAGAGGACAATTGTTCTGGACACATATTTTTGTTTATATAATAAAATTTAAAATAAAAAAAAAGACCTCTAAATGAAATAAATTTAAAATAATTTGTGCCTGGACAAAAACAAGAAGGACCCTTGAATGAACTGTGACTTTACAGCTTTGTGATAATATTTATTCACTGTCTGGACCTGGGGATTGGACTGTAAAATCTGCATTTATTGTGCTGTCAGTGATCCATCTGAAACACGACTACCCACTCCTCCTAACAGAAAAGACCCCCCCCCTCTTTTAAATGTGTATATAACGAAAAGAAGTTCCCATGTAGAGCCCACCTGTATAGACATGTCCATATGATGGAGAACCGAGGAGCCTCCTGGATTGTGTAAATATAAGGTCCAGTTCATTGACCTTTTTATTATTTTTAAATTGTCATTGGTTTGAATTAAAATTTCTTAGCCCTTAACATTCATGGACACCACCACTTCTCCTCCAAAAAGCCATCTTTATTTATAATGTGGGTTTATTCTAGATAAGGGTAAAAATCCATATCTACTCAAACACTCACACTCCCAAATTCACTGTGTATATTTATTAAATGAAGAGGCCATCAGAACGACTCTCACATATAATATGATTTTTATGACACTGGGCTAATGACTGCAATTGTTTCACATTACCCAATAAGTGAAGACACCAAATTAACTCACAATCTCAGAAAAGGATTATGATGCCCAGTTTGTACATTGCACGTTTCAGTGTAGTGTCTAATTTTTTTGTATATTTTTTTTTTCCATATTATTATTATTAGTTTTGAAGAGTATCCCAATATCACATTGAGCCCAAGTCAAGGCCATTCAGCACTTCCATCGTGTCACTGGAAAGTCTGGTCCCCCTGTCCCTGTGTAGATGGAATAAAAACTCTTTGTAAGTTTGATAACATGCTTGTCCCCAAACAATTCCTAAATGTAAGGAAACCCATATCAACGTGTCCCTCATAATAAAAGTCAAACTAATGAACCTGACTTGTCTCATTTTTACTGCAATAATTCTATCTGCTGTCAGACTCAGATTTATAATGTTTTTCTAATGTTATTGCCAAGAAATAATTTATTACACAGATAAAATGTATCATTTAACAGAATATCATCAATCCACACACAGACTGTATGAGTATTATAAATCGTTCATTTAGAGCTGTTAATTATGCCCAATACATTAGAATAATACTGATTTATGTTTTGAGTCTGGGCTTTTCACAAAACTGATTGTTAGCAAATTAAAAAAATATCTGATTTTGGAAAAAGCCTCTGTTACTCCTAGAGTTACAAATCGGCAATTGTGTCCTAAACGTTTGCAATTCAGTTATCAGTTTAATACAATTCGCTGTTTAGAGATTTAAACCTCAGATCATTTCACTAGTTCGACTTGTAGCGAATTAACCATTTCGGCAAAAAAAAATCTGAAAACGTCAAACCCCAGCTATAGCCATATATTGGCTCATTTTTATCCTCCCTATTGCAATAAAATTTGAATTCGCTGGATTTAGGCGTTTATTGAATAAGCTATTTCTTGTGAAGTGTTTTTTTTCTCAGTCTCCGCATTTTAGTGTACATAGAAATTCGAATCGCCGAATTCTGAATAATATAGCCAAGCTGTGGTTTTATTGTAGTTTATAATTTTGCCACCTATATTTTCACTCCCGATATTTGGAGTTGGGAAAATTCCAAAAGTATTTAAACAATCTGGAAATTGTAGTGAAAGGGCAGCAGCACTATTTAGAACCGAATTAAATGGGTTTTTCCAGTATGGCAATTTTATCCGTGTCTCTGTTATATCCTGATCATTTCTCCAGTTCGCGATTTAGTGAATAATAACAAACATTCCCTATGGAGACTGGACTTACCGTCGGTGTAATAATGAAAAAGTTATGTCATAAATGTAATAAATAAACCCGGGGCATTAAATTTACAATGTTGCAACAGGAAGCTTATTCGTAGAATCTAAAAAAACACAACCAGGCAAAACAAACACATTCTACAATTATATAATAAAATTTGCACCAAACTATGAAATTTTAAATCTTAATTTCTGTTCGACAATTCAGTTTTTATTCTCCCCTAAGTATTTAACTTTAAGTGAATATATTGCCTAATGAAAAAAGAATCAAATAACCTTTTATTTTCCTATAGGAATGGAGGTATTTGCTAATAAACTGATCTGTTAATTAATTACCCTCTGTGCTCTAACAGACTGTGGATGTTATTATCCCTTAAGGCAAACGCGTCTCTTCACCTTCATTTATTTATTTATTGGCAGTTTATATTTTAATAAAAGTGAAAATAATGACTATATAAAAAAAACAAAAAAAAAAACAATTCTCTATTTGAAAGCGAAAGGTAAATATTTCAGATTTTCACGATTTCATTACTGGCTGCAGCCTTGCAATGTCTGTCTTTCATTTGCAAATCAGTTTAGATTTCACTCACTGAAACTCTACTATTATTATTCAATGGGAATTCTAATATTACATGGGTTTAGGATATTAAATATCTGAGGCAGACAAGTGTAATTCATAAAAATAAAAATTATATTAAAAAAAACACACACACTCTTTTTTGTTTTTTAGATATATAGATGAGCTATATATACAGTATGTTCTGTGTGTTGGTGTTTATTATTGTTACTGAGCTCCTCTGTTGCTGTTTACCAAACACATCTTGCAGCTTAATATCTAATTTCCAGTCTAACGACTCTGGATTAAAAACAACCCACACAGCTCAGAGACACACTGACTTTAATCTCTTGTCTTTGCTGCTAAAAAAACAACCCCCCTCCCACCAAAATAAAAAAAATATAAAGTTTCCATTCCCCCTGAATTGTCTATTCTATACTGGATATTAGGATTTTTTTTTAGTATCCAGATGAAGGGAGCCATGAGCCCATGCCTCTTGCTGGGGTGTGATAGAGGCAGGATGAGGTGCGGTGTTTTAGCCACTAAATTCAGCTTCCACTCTTCTAGTCACATGACAGGGAGCAGCATAAGTCTTGTGTCTGCCAGCACTCAGTGAGACAGGGGATCATAGTGGGGGTACAGGATTGGATTCCAGGCACCCTTTATGAGATGCTCTTAGATGTTCTTGGGTGCATGGGGTGTCCTTTCCTTACAGGCAGAGGGACAACTGCCAAACCCATCCCAATCTCTGGCACAAGCAGCAGGGACAGAGCCTAATCACGGTCTCATAATTACAGTAACACAGACACACACACACAGACACACAGAGACAAGACAAGATTGTATGCTGACACTTTTTAAAAAATTGTTTCCATTTGTTTCGGTTGTAGAAAAGAGTTTGTAAACAGACTTTACAGGAACTGATGGGAGCTACACAGAACAGATCAAGGGCTGAGTGGATTAATATTTTAACATAATATGATTATTTGAAGCAGGGGAGATGTGAGATCAGATCAACAAGTCAGGGCCAGTGATAAGATTTTTTTTTTCTTTTTCCCATTTCACAGACAGATAATACTGCAGACAATAAAATGAGGAATCTTTATATCACTCATATAGAGCGAGGAAGTGGACGAATTATCAGATAACACAAAAAGAAAGCAAATCCAGGTTTTCAGAATATGGGTCAGTTTGAGATGGAGACAATAAATTAGCTGTGTCTCAGTTCTGCTATATTCTATATGGCTTTTCTTTTTTAAAGATGTTTATTCCGTTATTTTTTGTTGTTGCAAAAACACCTCAAAACCAAAACAAAATATCTAAAATACAACACTGGTATTGGAAAATAAACCTTCTTTTTTTTTTTTTTTAAAGTGTGGGTTGTTGTAACTGGTGTGTTAATATAACCAATATTTCACATATTATGAATTCCAGATTAATATTATTTATTCATTGGAATTATTTCAATGGTTCTATACCAGAGGACCCTAGAACATGACAAGGTCTTTCCTTTTAACCATCTCTTTTTAACACACTGACATGATTTTAGCCCTTTAGCAATTAAAAAAAAAAAAAGCAAATAAATGAAAGAATTGACTAAGTACATTAATTATAAGAGTTAGATTCATAGAAGCAAAATATTTCTCGGACATATGTCTGTCCTACCTCCACATGTGACATACAGTCATTGGAACCACTGCTCAGTTTTAAATGATTTTATCTGTTGTAGGAAATGGCCACATTTAATTTCACTTGATGAGAAAAAATTTTTTCTTTAAATCTTAACATTCGATCTGGTTTCATTCTGCATATTTTAATTATATAAAAAAAAGTAAGACAATATATTAAGAGCAATCAACGTCATTTTTTCGTTATATTAAAATTGTTATATTGATGGATGGCTTTAAAAAAATCTGCATATATAACTATTTTAAAGAATCCTTACTGCAAACATACACAGATCTTAACAAAGCGATTGGCACCCGAATTGCTGGAGTGTAAAATACAACAATTAGTAAATAGTAACTAAAATAATAACAAGCACCAACTGTAACGAAAAGCAGAATATATATATATATATATAAAATACATTATAATAAGGACTAAACTTTAACCAAACTATATCAACAACGTCATGATGATCACAAGCACTAAACTGTAATCAAACAATATTTATATCTCCCTAATTATAAGCACTAAATTGTAACCAAGCTATACCAATCACTACATAATAATAAAAAGCACTAAACTGCGACCGAACCATATCAATAACTACAATATAATGAAACTATGTCAATAACTACATAATAATAAAACACACTAAATTGTAACCAAGCTATACCAATCACTACCTAACAATGAAATTATATCAATAATTACATAAGAAAAAGCACTAAACTCTTAGCAAACTGTAGCACTAACTACACAATAATAACTAGTACTGGATTATAGCTATAACTACACAATAATAACCAGTACTGGATTATAGCACTAACTACACAATAATAACTAGTACTGGATTATAGCTATAACTACACAATAATAACCAGTACTGGATTATAGCACTAACTACACAATAATAACCAGTACTGGATTATAGCACTAACTACACAATAATAACCAGTACTGGATTATAGCACTAATTACACAATAATAACCAGTACTGGATTATAGCACTAATTACACAATAATAACCAGTACTGGATTATAGCTATAACTACACAATAATAACCAGTACTGGATTATAGCACTAACTACACAATAATAACTAGTACTGGATTATAGCTATAACTACACAATAATAACCAGTACTGGATTATAGCACTAACTACACAATAATAACCAGTACTGGATTATAGCACTAACTACACAATAATAACCAGTACTGGATTATAGCACTAATTACACAATAATAACCAGTACTGGATTATAGCACTAATTACACAATAATAACCAGTACTGGATTATAGCTATAACTACACAATAATAACTAGTACTGGATTATAGCACTAACTACACAATAATAACCAGTACCGGATTATAGCACTAATTACACAATAATAACCAGTACTGGATTATAGCACTAACTACACAATAATAACCAGTAACGGATCATAGCACTAACTACACAATAATAACCAGTACTGGATTATAGCACTAACTACACAATAATAACCAGTACCGGATTATAGCACTAACTACACAATAATAACCAGTACTGGATTATAGCTATAACTACACAATAATAACCAGTACTGGATTATAGCACTAATTACACAATAATAACCAGTACCGGATTATAGCACTAACTACACAATAATAACCAGTACCGGATTATAGCACTAACTACACAATAATAACCAGTACCGGATCATAGCACTAACTACACAATAATAACCAGTACCGGATTATAGCACGAATTACACAATAATAACCAGTACCGGATTATAGCACTAACTACACAATAATAACCAGTACTGGATTATAGCACTAACTACACAATAATAACCAGTACTGGATTATAGCACTAACTACACAATAATAACCAGTACCGGATTATAGCACTAACTACACAATAATAACCAGTACCGGATTATAGCTATAACTACACAATAATAACCAGTACTGGATTATAGCACTAAATACACAATAATAACCAGTACTGGATTATAGCACAAATTACACAATAATAACCAGTACTAGATTATAGCACTAACTACACAATAATAACCAGTACAGGATTATAGCTATAAC